GTATTGATAAAATAGATGATAGCTTTAAAGGTTTTTCTTCTAAAAAAATTCAGTAAAATTAAAACGTGGTTGCATGTCACAAGACATACAAGTTCTAAGAATATGCTCAAAAAGTGATTAACACTTTCATTCAAATAATTTTCTTACACACAAAATATATCTACCGGTTCAATTAAACAATATGCATCACTCGATTTAAGTTGCTTATATTTTGTGAAGATGACTCGAATTTTCCACAAATCACGTAGAAAAGCAAATATTCTCATACATCTAAGATACTTCTGCACACGATTGTACGTTTACCATCCGTCTATCACGTTTTAACTTTTATAACTGTGAAACATGCTTCTGCTGTAGGTGCGTCTAGACGCGATTATCAATTCGAACGCATCCAGATGCGTTTTTGAAACGCGAGTAAACGCGATCGTTACTTCAAACGCGTTTAGCAGCGTTTTGTACTAAAAAACAAGTAAACGCGTTTTGATTTTGGATGCGTCTAAACGCGATCATTGGTACAAACGCGTTCATACGCATCTATGAAACGCGTCTAAGCGCAATCATAGGTATAAATGCGTTCAGACGCACCTACGAAACGCGTCTGAACGCGTTGCCTTCGAGTTTTTAACTGTAACCGCTTCTGAACGCGTTTATAAACGCGTTTAAACGCGTGTAGTCTGCGTTTGGCTTTCACATGGGATGCCTTAAGGTAGCCGAAATGTTCTTTGATGTTATTTATCTTCGAGCATCATGACAACGATTATTATCGATTGATATACATATGTACATTGACTCAAACAATCTTTTCAAAGTATTAGGACAATGTAAATACCATGATTAGAAATGACATATTATCTCTTCGTTTGAATGAAACAAAAGTATTTTTCTATAGAAAAAGTATAATGAATTTGTTCGTGTCAAGTTCTTTCGCTGACTCTATCTTTAATAACAAGGAATAATTGACCAACTTGTTTTTTAGTTTTTGACTTCTGATTGGTGTAGTCTCTTTATTTCTGAAGGTTTAAAAGAAGATTCTGTCGTTAATTTATACATCAATGTCCATGATGAGTCATAGTATTCAAGAGGCAACCTTCAGTTCAGTTTTGACGTTAATATTTCTCATTTGTTGTTTGATGAGTAATTGCACAGTAGTCTGTCCATCTGTTGATGACATGCAGACCGACACAACATCAACCGGTGAATGAACGTAATCATGAAGTTTGGTTACATTGGCATTGCCTTTCTCTGTAAAGAAATGTTCAATCATGTCTTTGATAATTGGTATTGAACAACGTTTGAATTCTTGTTTGATGCCGATGCGACCAGATCGAACGAGAGCAGGAACGATTTGATCGGGATGATTGGTAGTCATGATAGGAATACGCAAGGGTTGTTCAATGATTCCATCGATGAGACTGAGCAAGAAGGCCATTGTGGAGTCGGGTAATTGTCATCGCCTGTATTCGATAAAGAAAAGAACTCTACATTCATGGGCATCAATAGATTGACTAGTATTCAAGAAATCATATGATCTTATCGATTCTAACCGTTGACTCTAATGAAATACTTGTCTTTTCTTATTTCCTAGAAAGGTTTTCATAAAAATACTAATGGTATATGTTCGATTTTTTTCTCTTATTCTTGTGCAAAATTGATGTGCAATAGAGTAATGATTAGAAGCGTAGATATTGGCATGCATTGGTTCTAGACCATATTTTATCTCCTATTTCTGTCACTTTCATCACTCTTCTCGAATCTCTTACTATTATTGAAAATGTCTGAAACCGATTGATATTCTGACTTACCAAGCAGATTGCGTACACGTTGTTTTGGAATTTTCCTCTCAAACTTATCAAGATCGTCTTGTTGAAGCCTAATGATGAGATTATCGGCGTCAGACATCACTGAATCGGATGCTAATGTTGTCAATCGATTCTTGATGATGTTGCTCACTAGAATACGAATAGTTCTTTCACTTGTTCTGGATAAAAACGAAGAGTCGAGTAGCTTACTACAGTCGATGTCTTCGAAGATGATAAGCTTGTTGGAAAAGTTCAAGTCGATCATGTCGTACGAGTTAAGATAGAAGGCTCGTTTGAGTTTGTCACAGGTACGAATGCGCGAAAGTAGAATTTCGCTGAGATGTTGTCCAGTATAGGCAGTTATCGCCTTGATCGTTGAAGTCTTTCCACAACCTATATGAAGGGTGTGGGTGACTATACAGAAAAGTGTAACATGATAAGTATCTATACATAAAAGACTTCATGTCATCTCTGTGTCTTATTTCTTCCATTCGGAAGAAATATCGAAAGCTGAATATTTTCTCAAAATCAAAAAAAAAAAGAAATGATATCCTTGTTTTATTTTCAAATGTTCCATTGAATATCTGAATTATGTGCTATTCCGCTTGAAAAGTTAATATTAAGTATTTCTTTAACCGTGAGCAATGATATTGACTTGATATCAATCATGTATCAAAATATCTATTTAAATGTTTTGCTTCGATGCTTTTTTATTTATGTATACATGAATATAATATATTACATTTGTCAAGATAAAAAATAATTTGATTTTTTGCTACTACCTTTTGCTTTTCGTATGGGATATTCACTATGCACAAATCATTGAAGCAAATCGTTTTATTTAGAACGTGTGCATCTTATGTAGTCACATTCGTCATAGAGTGTGTCATAAAAAATAAAAATAAAAAAGGAAGAAATCTAAGCACATTAATGAAGAATAAGAAACGTATAAAGGTGCCTTCCTGCAAAGGTAAAAAAAGAAGTAAATAGTATTACATAGCCGTCATCAAGCCAATTCAACATCAATTTTACATAAAATTTATCCAATATATTCGCTGTAAATTGATTTCATTGTGGTGAGTAACGTATCTGAATAATATTAAAAGTAGAAATAAGGTTATTATATAATATAAACACAATGCTAATCTGATTTTCATGTTCAACATGATTTAAATAGATATGAAATTGATCTCGATGATTAATTTATAAATCTCCTTTTACTACATATTTAGTTTACTTGCTTTTCTTGTCAATATTATAACATCATGTTGAGTTAATTAAGAGACGACCATTGAAATTAGGATTCCGAAAATCTTTAGATTATAGAATAAGATATCAATGTAAAGCCGTTATATTTTGTGTTGCCATGGCAAAGTCTAAGAAAGATGTCAGATAGTTTTAATTTGGCATTTTTCTATGAGAAAAGCTACGATAAGTTTGAGATTGATTGAAATTTTTGCATGCGACACTTTCACATAACATTATTTTTTTCTATTCATTTCTTATTAGGCTATTAATTCTTTCAAACTTGAGAGTGTGGGTGTAGCACCCACACCCTTCTGATCGGTATTCTACTGAATGTGACTAGTATTTCATCACAATTCTAATATCAAAAGAGTATATATCGAGACAATTTTGTAATCAAGCAGAAGTTTAATGTAACTTCTTAAAAAAGTAATGTCGAAAGGTAACAATCGTTTCCACAGATATGACCTAGTTTCTAAGGTGAATCTTGATTAATACACGAAAAGATCATCATTTTGTAGGATTATAATCAGATAGTTGCTAAATTTTATGAGAATGACTTGAGTTTTCTCTAGATTTTTATCAAGCAGATTTTTAATTCTAGTATTGATAATTTGAATGAAAACCTGCTAAACTCTTAAGAGAGTTTCATCAGAGCGATTTTCGGAAATGATGAAACCAAAGATAAACACAGCTGACTTTGTACGTTTAATTAATATATTATAATCTGTTAATTGTTACTATACTTATGTTGCTGTTTGAGAGATATTGTGCTACTATGAGAACATATATATATTTAGATACGATCAGTTAATATCATGTGTTTCTTTTTTTAGTTTTTACTTAAGAAATCTTATCAATGAACTTATTCAAAATTTTCATTGGAAATTTTAAAATGGCTGTGAAATCCATCAATATTGATGAAGAACAAAGACAAACACAACGTTTTTCGGATATCGCTGAAGAACCTTGTCGAATGTTGATCCCCATTGAAGGGTATGAAAATGAGCCACTTGTTACCCTTGAAGAAGCTGTAGAACCTATTGTTTTATATGTACCCGATATCAAACGAAAGACCTATATTGCAAAAATGAAATGTGCCGAGTATTCACCAAGCCAACTAACAATTGACCAAGCAGCTTCAATCATGCTCTATACAATGGAATGGGAGCCTCACGAAGAATGTCTTTATTATGTCTTAAATCGAACCCTACAAAATGAAGATCGACAAAAACTAAAACCTTGGTTTCTTTATCTCAAGTTGATTCTTACTGCATTGGCTCAACTTCCAGCAACTCATTCTTTGTCTATCGTGGAATTAAACGAGACATGAGAAAAGAATATCCAAAAGGAAAAACATTCGTATGGTGGGGATTCAGTTCTTGTACATCCAATATTAGTGTACTTCAAAATAAACAATTTTTGGGTATGAAAGATCCAAGAACTTTCTTTACAATTGAATGTGATAGTGGCAAAAGCATTCGAAAATATTCTTATTTCAAAACTGAAGATGAAATTCTTCTTCCTGCTGCAAGACAATTTAGAGTCATGGAATGTTTTGACCAAGATAAAAATCTTTATATGATACTACTCAAAGAAATTCAACCATCATTTCCCTTGATTGAACTTGTACCGACAGTGAGAATTTACATCTATTATATATTTATCAATACACATACGTCATGGATTATTTTTCTAGCCACTTATCACGGACATGGAAATTCCAGCAGCAGTAGTATCATCACCACTAAAATCCATAGTCACAGAAATCATAAAACAAGGTAGGATTGTTAAGAATCGATTTTCTTGTATTGTTAATCGATAGAGTAACCTATGTTGATAGATTAAAGTAGATGAAAAGTAAGAGTTGAATACTTCTCTATTCATTGATTATTAAATTCGAAAGAGTTCAGCAGTAAAAACAACTTCAAAATCTCTCACTTTTAACTGAAAACCTTTCATTATTACTTGGAATTGTCGTCTTTTTTGTATCCATGTCGATGACTATAGAGAGGTCTGGGTGGGATGAATCTAGAAAGATCTTTCGGAAGTAAATAAAAACAGGAGCCAAAGTCGAGAACGATTAAGGAAAAACGATTCGATTGAGGACGTATCAGGAATAGTTCGGTGAAACTACTAACGAAATTTCAACAGAAATAGGAAATATTGTCTTCTATTTGATATTTTGAATTTCTCGATCGTTTTAAAGTTTTCATAAGAAATGAAGAATTTAATTAAAATAAAACTATAGTATTATTTAGTAAGAAGAAAATAAAATCTATTCGAATTTTATCTTTTCTCATATCTTACTGTTAATTTTGACTTAACATCAGTCTTATTAATATAATTATAGTCCTCGTAACGTTTTCCACATATCTTTTTTGTTGAACATAGAAAATAAATTAATACTAAAATGTTTTCGTTGTCAGTTATAGAATATCTGATTTCTTTTCATTGTAAGCATTAAAAAAGATGAGAGGCACACTTTTTCTCGAAGAAGAAAAATATCTTCATATGAGTTTGAAAAAAAGAAATTTCTCAATTTACTTTTAATGTCCAAGACATTTATGCTAGCAGCTATGGATCCAAATCACGCGAACTGCGACTTTCACCAATTGAAAGAGAAGAGGTCGGAATATATTTTCTTCCGATAATGTATAAGACAAAATCCTTATAAAACTGATCATCTTCAAATAACATACAAAATAAAGGATGAAAATGACTTGTCATCTAGATGAAATTTTGATTTTGATCTCTGATTTAGATAGAGAAACTTCAAATCTACATTTCAAGATGTAAGAAAGCATATTATATCTTGAACTATAGATCTGAAATTCTTCTATCTAAATCAGAGGTCAAAATCAAAATTTCATCTAGGTGGCAAGTCATTTTCATGCTTTATTTTGCATGTTTTTCGAAGATGATCAGTTTTATAAGGATTTCGTCTTATACATTATGATTGTCTAAAACACAAAACTCTTTAGATGTAAAAACTTCGTAATATATTATTAGGAATATGGGTTTGGGTGTCAATCGTCTCTTCATTGATACTCGCACCCACAATCTGCAAAACATAAACTTGCAAAGATCTGAACTAGCAAATCCTCGTAATTGTTTTCAGATCAAGATCTTGATTGTAGGTTCTCAGTGTCTTGTAAAGAAGGGTGTGGGTTGATTAAGAAACACCCACACCTTCCCATACTTCAACACTCTTCTTAGATAATCTTTCATACAATTGTGAATATGAAATAACATTTTTTTGTTTGTAGTTGGTTACGACAAGCTTAAAAAGAACTTTAGTCAAAATGATTTATGTTTAACACTGACTGTTGATTCAAATTTTCCATCATTAGTTGAAGAATATCGTCAACTAACTCGCACTGTTATGCGACGTGAACTAGAAGATGTAAGACAAGCTGTAAGAGATTTTTTTTTAAATTATAAAATTAAGAATAAGAAAAGTTTTACTTTTTGTGAAACACGATCTGAAAGGAGTGTTGAAGTGTTTAGGGTAGAAATTTTGGACCCACTCCCCCCCGCCCCCCCCGCCCCCCCCCACAGACCGTGACAGAGAAAATTCATACCCATCACAGACCGTGACAGAGAACCTCCGGACCCATCACAGACCGTGACAGAGAACTCCAGAGACCATCACAGACCGTGACAGAGAATCCCTGGAAACCGTCACAGACCGTGACAGAGAATCCCTGGAAACCGTCACAGACCGTGACAGAGAATCCCTGGAAACCGTCACAGACCGTGACAGAGAACTCAAGAGACCGTGACAGAGAACCTCCGGACCCATCACAGACCGTGACAGAGAACTCCAGAGACCATCACAGACCGTGACAGAGAACCCCTGGAAACCGTCACAGACCGTGACAGAGAACCCCAGAGACCGTCACAGACCGTGACAGAGAACTCCCAAACACCATCACAGACCGTGA